TCCTCTCCTCCTGGGATGCCCTTATCTGGGTTCCTGCTGGGGGATTATTCAAGGAGCAAAGCCCCAAGGATCCCTGGAGCCACCCTGGACTTTGCCCAGCAGCTCTGATAGCGTGGGATGGGATAAGCAGTTTTGGGAGCAGGGACAATAGGGTGACAATGGCTGGGGGGGTTTGGGGGGGGGGGTCAGTCCAACAGATGGGCAGGGGTCCCTTTGAGGGGGCTGGGGGCTCTGTGAGGCTTTGACTGCTTTTTTTAGGGTGGGAAGCAGGAGCATTTACAGCCCATTGGTGCTCCCTGCCACATCCCTGCAGCCCCTGGTCCTTAGAGACTTCCAGCCAGCACCCATGGCCAACACCAGCATCCCATGGACACGCTGAGAGGAGGGAACCACAACAGGATGGGAGCCCCAGGTGGCATCTTCTGCATGTGTGAACATTCCTGGCTCCTCACCCTGAACAACTGCCAGTTGTCCTGAAGGTCCCCCCACGTCCCCATGCACAGGGTCCCCCTGATTCCACTGCCCTTTGTTTTTGACTGGCTGCCCCTTTTTTTTCCAGTTTTGTTTTGTTTTTTTCTTGCAGACATCATTTATGGGATCTCAGGGAAGATCACTGCACTCAGCAGGACAAACCCTCCTCCTCCTCCTTCCCAGGTGCAATTCTGGGACTTGTCTGGCCAGAAAAATCTGTTTTTATTTTCACCACAGGGCAAGTGCAGGGAGGAGCTGGGATGAGGCAGGAGAAGCACCTGAGCCAGTTCTCACCGGCGGTGGGTAAAAGGCTGGTGTTTCCTTGGAGCAGGTCTCTCTTAATCCCTGTTTTCAGCCTATTTTTGCTGTGCTGCTTCACCTTTGCCCTTCGCAGCAAGACTTTGTTGCTCATCCTCCTCCCCTCAACTACCTCTGCCCTTGTTCTTCTCCACGTGTCTCTCCAAGCCTGGTGGGATGGACGTTGCTCACCCGGTCAGATGATCAATGCCTCTCCATGCTGGTGGAGATGGGGTTTGCAGCTGGGTTGTTACAGCTGATGCCTTCAGCCACTTCTGCTTTCGGGCAGCAGGGGCCATATCCATCAGGGTGCCCAGCCCGGGCTCAGCCCTGGCTCCAGCTTTTGTTTGATTTCTCAATAAAAGGGATTTTCCCAGAGCTCCTGCTTTCCTTAATGCTCCTGGTGTGAACTTGGCCGTGGGTGAAGGCCGTGGGAGTGGTGGTGGTGGCCAAGACATTGCTCAGCAGCTCCTGCAACCAGAGCTCCTGCCCTGATTACTTCACCAAGTCAGCAATTCTGAGGAAAAAAGAAGTGTCTTTTTTTGTGCCCTGTGACTATGAGGCAGATCCTGCAGGGAGGAGATGATGAAACAGACTGGGGACTGTCACATCCAGTGGAAAGGCTGGTGTGGACAAGGAGAAGACATGCTGTTCCCTGCAGCAAGGCTCACTGGGCAGTGAGAGTGAAGGAAAGGGAAGAAAGCAAGAGGTGTCTGAGTGACTGAGCTGTTCCCTACAGCTGTTCAGCCACCTCTGCTCCCTGGGGACAGCAGGACTCTCATTGCTCCCTGTCAGGATGCTCAGTATCTGCAACATCCCCTGATCATGGGGAGGAGGGATGGAGAGGACCCTCCTAGAGGACATGGGGTGCTCTGGGGTCCCAAGAGCACATGGCAGCAGAGCAGTCCTGGTGGAGTCCAGGCCCAGTCACCTCCCTGCCAGCCACTGTCTGGGGACACCAGCAGGTCATGCTGGGGAAGCTGGTTGCTGTCCCAGTGCCTATGGCTGTGGTGAACTTTGTGTGCTAAGAGTTAATCTGGAGGAGGGAGAGGAGAACTTTGTCCAACTGCCCCTGCACCTTATCTGCTGGGAACCTGAGGTGAAGTCAATACCGGAACCGGTTGCAGAAACCCGATGTTGGTCAGTGGCACAATCAATCTTTCTGAGCAAGGCAGATATTTCCTTTTCTTGCAAACAGCAAAGCTGAGCTGCAGAGTTCACCACCAGATCTGAATTTTCCAGCCTTCCAGACTCCAGACCCTGAATTCTGCCCCTGTTTGGGAAAGATGCAACAGCCAGAGGGTGGTCCTGGCCATGGGGAGTCCAGAACCTCAGCTGGGGGTCAGCTCTGCTGGGCCCGGGGTGGCAGGAGCTGGGACCCCCCAGCACAGGCACAAAAATAACCCTGCTCAGAGCTTCCCTTTCTTGCTGCCTTCCGTGCCTGTCCAGGGATGCATCATGCACGAGCTGTGATTGCTCATGCTTTGTCCCACATCCCTTGCTCTGTCAGCAAGTCACTGCAGTGACTCACAGGGATCCCCACAGCCCCCCCAGACCCCCAGCCCAGCCCGTGGCCGCTGCCTGCAGACCCTGGCAGCTGCTTTTCCCTCTCTCATTTCATGCACCCACCAGCCACGTTGTCTGTGCAAGTGCCTGGAGGATCAAAGCAAAATTCCCTGGAAATCACCGGTTGTTCTGGGAGTTTTGTGGCGCCGAAAGAGCCCCGGGGTCTCTCCACTTTCCTCCTTACCTTCTTGTTTATCAGCATCAGCCCAGCCTGCTGAGGCAACACATTTTTCCAGTGAACTGGCTGCTCCCCCAGCCCCTGCCCATGGCTGGGACCTCGGGGATCTCCACACCCAGGGATGTCACAGCCACCTCCTGGGGCTTTCTGTTCTAAGCCAAATGTGGAAGTCCCAGGAAAGGACCAAGGAGATCTTTCAGATCCAAGGCTGCCCAGGAGCAGCAGTGCCTCCTGCTCAGCCAAGGCTCCCTCTGGAGGAGGGAAGCACCAGCAACACTGGGCGTGCAGCCTGGGTGCCCCGGGGCTTTCAGCTCCTTGGGGAGGAGGGCAGAGTCCAGGGAAAGAGGGTTTAACACTCCTGTGCAACCCCCCGAGGTCTGCAGGGTTGCTGCTGTGCTCATTGCAACACGAGCATGGCAGGGTTTGTTTTATTCAAGCTTTTATTGAAAAAGCAGATCACAGAGCTGCTCAAGACATTTTATATTCACTATGAAACGGCTTCTTGGTATGGAATGAACTTCTGCTGGGCTCTTCAGCTGCAGCCCCCCCGGGGTGGCTTCATCACCTCCAGGGCTGCTGATGGGGCAGTGAAATGCAGCTCCATTCCCCTCCTGGATGTCCCAGCCCTAAGGGATTGCAGGAGCAAAGCCCACCCTGTTATTTCCACGGTCAAAGACAGAGTAAAACTGACGGATAAACACGTCACCCAAAATCCAGAGGGGTCCTGTGGGAGGGGGCACATCCGAGCCCTGGAAGCCACTGGTGCAGATGGTTGTGCCATCGATGTACTCCTGGGGACAGAGAAGTGTGAAGCTGGGGGTGAACCTGAGAGCCTCGTGCACATGGAAACACACAGGAATGGTGACTGGGAGTCCCGTGCATGG